GTACAAAACCAAAATTTCACTGATCAAGTTAGATTTAAACTTATGAGCTTGCAATTATCAATATATTAAAAGTATGTGTTCAAATATTCTCTAGTCTTTGTTAAACTCACTATCAGTGCAATACTCGTGGCCACTTAGTTATCATATGGGTACAACTTTGTTAGATTTTCATAATCGTCATAATGATATCTAATGTTTGCAACATATATTTTCACAATTGTTGTAATACTTTCTCATGGTTGCAGTATACACAGGCATTCTTAGAATTGTTTCATGTTACAACACTGATAGATCTTCACTGCTGGTAAGGTTAACTAATTGTTAATCCCTGATAGTAATATTGATGAAAAAATTATATCACTAGTGGAATTGAAATTATATAATAATCAACTGACAAACTCCACTCACAGCCTTCTGCATCCACAATTCAATATATAAAGAGAAGAAAACAAAACTCCCTTTTCTAAACGTAATGGTTACAAGACACATAACCAAGGAGTTTAGAGGAAACTCAAATATGCGGGTAAATGCTCTGACTATAGATCAAACCACTCAACAGTGTAAAGACGAATATCACACTGTATAGACTCCAGAATGAACAAAATTTATAATGCAGAAGATGCTAAGATGAATGAAGAAAAAACTCATCACACCCCACGAAGGAGCTCAAACAGTGATAATTCACAGAAAAAACTATATACACAACCATATTCTCCTATATCGAGGATATGCAAGAAGTAGAAAGATAAAGCAGTATTCCAAAGCTACAACAGAATATGATCGATCATACTGCACACCAAACTAATTAGATACCCGAATAGGAGCAAATACAACATTTACAATATCCTTTGTGAATATGGATTCCAGTACACTGAAGAAAGAAAGACAAAAAACTGAGAATTAAAGATCACAGTAAATATATGAGAGTCCATCATAAAGAACTGTGTACAACAGTACATCACGTTAGAGCAGAATACTATACAGTAAAATAAAGTGACATTAAGATAATGGGGTATGACCAAACACGAAAAAAAAAAAGACAAAATATGGCTTTTGCATCCATCTAAGTGATAACACATTCTTCTAACCTAGCATAAACGTCAGTAAAAAGTTTTTGAAGCATCTCATCACTAATGTATCATCTATTACTTCCCACCTATCTATGACCGTTCATTTCATATTTGTTAAGTTTATGAACATGAATTTTGTTTTGGGAAATGTGTTTCTGATAACATAACAGTTAAGTTTTTTGTTGTTTAAAATTCTGCTTTTGCTAAGTAAACAATTTTTAATTTGACATATAATGGTTATTAATGAATACAGACATTTTTTTAAATTGTTCTATATCAGCTTCTTTCTCAGAAACACAACAGTATTTAGTATCTTTGTTACTCCCATTCTTTGGATGACGATGTGAATAAAGAATTGTTCGCTAGGTGAATGAAATAAACTATATCAATAAATTCACCGAACATGCTCGAACTTTTGCCTATCAATCCCATTATCAAAAAAAAAAAAGTTGCTTTAAACTCAGCGGCGCGTGGTGTTGAAAGCCACACTTCCCCTCGTTTTAAAGCTTATAATTGTGTTTTTGTTATTTGTAAATAAATATTGTTCTTATGCACCTTCTGTTATTCGACTCTTTCTCCTGACTAACTCGGAGATCAAAATGGTGTATTTACACTCACCAAAAAGAAAA